CTGTTAGAATCTGCTTGTAGGATAAGTTTCACGAGGCCAGAGAGACTTACAGATCTGCATTCCTCCACGCAGACGGAGCACCAGGTGAAGAGTAGACTCCTTCTGGATGTTGTAGTCGGACAGGGTTCGCCCGTCTTCAAGCTGTTTACCAGCGAAGATCAATCGCTGCTGGTCCGGAGGGATGCCCTCCTTGTCCTGGATCTTCGACTTAACGTTATCGATGGTGTCGCTCGACTCGACCTCGAGCGTGATGGTCTTTCCGGTCACTGCAAAAGTTTTCAGTCAGCTCCGTTGCCCGATGGCCATGTGTGGCAAGACATGACGAGGATCACTTACGAGTCTTAACGAAGATCTGCATGGTGATAGATCTCTAGCAAAGAGGATCGAGGTCTTCCAGAAGTTGGATGTAGAGAAAACCAGAGAGAAGCGATAGGTGGTTGTGGTGGAGGTGAGATGGAGATGTGAAGAAGGAGAGTTGGAGAGCGCAGGTTGCAGGCGGGCGAGGTTTAAGTAGGGAAGGCGAGAGGGGGGGGTGGAGGCGAGGCGGGCAGCGGTCTTAGTCAGGGTTGCCTGAGCGGGCAAGAGACGCCCGGCTGGTCTGGCAGCGTCCTAGCAGGTTCTGGCAACCAGTCAGCGGCTGTGGCTGGGGAAGCTGCTAGAAGGGGGCGGATGAGTCAGGCCGGGCAGTGACGATGGCGGAAGGTGACGCCATCCCCCTCCGGGCCTGGCACGCAGCGAGCATTCACAGCCACCCATCCAGGCCAATGAAGAATTTTCTTTCCGCGGATTCTCAGCAGACGGCAGACTTCGATATCGTATTTCAAAGTGACTGATATTGCCCAGTTTGTGCCAGCTGTCTTTCTGCGATCCCCGGCATCATGGTTATCGCCTCGATGACGTGATGATGGCTTATCTGGCAGGAGACGCTATCACGCGCTGCGTTGCCGAAGGTCCCCATCATGGACTCCAGATTGCGCGCTAATTACCCGTCCTGGTTAACCCGGCCAGCGCTCCCCAACGGTCCTCGCGGTCCAACTCTGGGATCTGCCTCGGGAACGGGCCTCTCCGCCTTCTGCAACCTACCTAACCTAGGTACGTCCATATAATTACCTAACGTTTGCGACGTAGAAAATGCCGCTTCTTGGCTGGGGACTTCTACGACATGGATTTGCATCCTCTCTCTCCAAGTGGGTTTCTCTGATTTTTGTCATTTTCGTCGCCATATTTACTAGTATAACTATGCTTTGTCACCAAAAAAATAATATTTCTGAATAATAGAGTAGATAGATCGGTAGATAGCGGTAAATAGCAACGGTCGAGCTGTCCGATCCCGCGGCCATCCCAATGTCCCAAATATCAGCTCATATCCACTGAGCGCAAGGAAGGGCCCTGGCCTTCACTTCTTGGTCCGGGTGGACGGCCCGAGAGCCAGCCACACCGGAGGAACCAGCCCGGGAGAAGAAGAGCGCATATCGCAACTCGGGCAAAGGATCAAAAAAATCTTCAAATGCAGACACATCCATCGAAGCAAAACAGGGAGGATACACAGCAGATGAAACACAAGGCTGAAGCAAAACATGCAACAAACCGACAATGCAGTTGCGCCGTCATTGGTGCTACCATGACATCTCATGATCCGTGAGTCATAACGTTCGTGATCCTCGTCACCGCTGCGGAGAAACACTATGCGAGAAGGAAGGTAAATCACGGAGAAAGTATAGATGATGGAGGTGTCGGGGACATTTCGGGGTCGGTGGGGAGGAAATCGGATCAAAGAGTCTTGCAAAAAAAAAAAACAGTAAACAGAAGAAAAGAAGATTCTCGTGTAAAGGAGGGTAGCTTGCCCCGCAGGCGTCTTCGGGCATGTCTCATGACGACGATTAAATGCATTACTCATCAGAGTTCATCTCCGCGTCAATGCCGTCATTTCTGGAGGCCGTTAATATGCGCAAACAAAAAATCAATCAAATCAAAGGAGTCGCGGTTTGGATAGTATCGGTCTTTTTAGTTGGCACGAATGACCAATCGAGAGAGGAATTTGTTGGACAGGCAGTCGAAATCGTTGCGGTTAAACGTTGAATTGGAGCGAGTGCGAAGGTAGGATTCTGCAAAGGGTCAGCTCGAAAAAAAAATTCCGGCGAGACCGAGAAGTGGTGACATACCATATTGGGTGACATGTTGGCGGACTTCGGTCATCGTGTTGCACACATCCGGGTTGGAATTGAGCAAATGGTGGTGCTTTTGCGTTTCCCAGTCGGTGAAGGCGGGAAGTTTCTGCGAGATGGCTTGGAAGAGACCAACAATCACCCCAACCGGCGTGGTCTCCATATCGTTGCAGAATTTCTCAACCGCCGCAGCATCCTTTTCGAACAGTTAGTACGGTACAATGAACTGACTACTCATTTCACAGTCTCAGCTCAACTCACCGGAACGCGATAATGGCAGTCGAACTGCATTTCTTCCCACACCGCCAACAGGATCGAGGCAAGGATGAAGATCGTGGGCCAGTTCTTGAGCTTATCACCGCTGTAGACGCTGGAATACAACGCAGAAAGCTCCTCGAGGACATCCTTCTGCAGCTCCCGCCACATGTTGGCCATGGCACATTTGATCTGGAAGTTGATCATCACCGGTGCCATCGTCTTACCCCGGAACCGGGAGTTCTCATCCTCAATCTTGCCGAGAAAGCCTTCTTCATCTCCGATCCCCTCGACCATGGTCACGTGGAGGGTGAGGTTGTATGCGAGGATGAGCTTGAGGGCCTTGCGAATCACGTTGAGCTTGGTGCGGTAGTAGTAGCGGTAGGCAGTCTTCAGCATCTGCGTCAAGAAGGGCGTGCCATCAAAGTAGTCGTCGACGAACTTCTCGAAGGTGCCATCGCCATCGATGTGACGGTCGAGATAGTCGGACAGCATCGCGTGGGAGATGCCGTCCATACCAGCCGAGAGCTTCATGGTGGACACTTCAAATTGATTCAGTTCCCGGTGGACCGACTCGACCCAGTCCACGTTGAAGCACTCTTCGTCGCGAACGTAGACCTCGCGGGCGTTGATCGGCATCACTTGACCATACCCGTGTGTCACGAAAAGCGTCCTCTCGTGCTCGGAGAATCCCTTGATGTTCCCAACCGAAAATCCAAGGGTGATATGACGCTCATAGTCGGCTTTCCAGTCTTTCATGAAGTATCCAATCTCCTTGATGTCGATCCTGGTGCACGGAACCTGCCACAACCGGGCGTGCGATGGCTGGCAGCCGGCGCAGGGTTCACCTTTGTCGCACTGTTCTCGTCGTCAGTAAACCGATTGAAAATGCACAAAATGCAGCAGAGGGAAGGGGGGGAATCAAAAACATACAGTCTTCTTCAAAAACTTGCACCGCAGACAGGCTCGCAATTTACGAATCTCGCTGGCCTGCTTTCGCTGGTCAGGCTTCAGAGGACCCTTGCGTTTTCCAATTTTCTTTTCCGTGGTCTCTGGCTTCCCAGACTGTGATTGCTTGCGGACTTTGGTCTCGGAGGTCTTGGCGGCAATGGGACTCTTGCGAGAGGGCTTCCTGCTAGGAGGGGAGGCCGAGGACTGCGAAGTTGTGGACCGCGTCGGGGACGATGACTTCTTCACCGGCACCGGGATGGGTCGCACGATGGCGACAGGGCTGACGGCGGTGGGTGATACAGAGCCGTGAGAGGTGTGGTCCAGCGAGACGCGCCGGTCGACGGAACCGTTATACAGCGACTCCAGGTTGGACTCGGAGCTCGGGGAGCTCAAGGGGTTGGAGATATCGACGAAGCTGCCCCAAGAGGCTTGCGTGTGCTGCTCGAGGTCCGAGTAAGACGACTCGGAGAGCGTCCGGTTATGCAGCGTCTGGGTGGGATTGATAAACATGCCCTGCTCCGGGAACGGATCCATCGAGCGACGGGTCTCGATGGTGGCCCAGCCATTGTCGCTGCTGGAGCTCGTCAACGATCGCACCTCCAGGTAGGTATCGGTCGGAGAGCTGCTCTCGGGGACGTTGTGCGGGGCCCCATAGGAGGTCATATCGGGGAGACCATTGGGGAACGACATCAGATCATGGAAGTCGTGGTAGGTGAAGGGCATGATGTCGACAGGCGCAGACAGCGACAGATAGGAGCCATCCAGCAGGCCGCTCGTGTCCAAGGGGGCCTGCGAGGCGGGCATCAAATCAACGGGAGACGTCTGCAACGGGACGGCGTAGCTGGAGGTGAACGGAGGGGCAGACGTGGTCTCAACCTGAGAGTATTGGAGCTGATTCTGGAGCTGTTGTTGGAACTGCCAATCTGAGATCAGATTGGGATCCTGGGAGACGGTCTGATCGTAGACGTGACCGCTGGTTTGCAGCGGCGAGACGTCTCGCCGCCCGTCGGGTCGCTGGCCATTCTGATCCACCGCCACGGGCCAGCTCTGGGCGTGGATATAGCCTCTCGAGTCGTAATCGAGCCCTACGAGGCCATCGTTGGGGAGATCAATGTTGGACATAATCAATGCCGCGCGCAATCGCGACGAGGAGACTCGAAGAGGCGGCGAAGGGAGCTGGAGGTGAGGACGAGGCCTTCAGCCTTGGGAAAAGTCGAGAGACTGGCAATCTGGGGGACGGGCGAGGAAAAGGCCGTGGGCGGATGGGCACCGGCGAGCAGCGGTGGGGAAGCAAAGAGGCGGTGAGCGGGTGGGCACGCTAGGGGAGTTCGGCTGGCGGGTTATCGCTATCGCTAGCCCGTTATCTGCTGGGGCGTGATCCGTCAGATCCCCCTAATGCCACGCCATCGGTGGAACGCCCGCCCGGCCTGCCAGTCGCAGGCGCTGGTCCCGCGGCCCGTCCGCCGCTGGCCGGGGCCGAGCAGCTACTATTTGAGGCGAGTCGCGTCCTGTCCTCAATATTGAGGCCGACGAGCGCTCCAGCGCCCCAGGCCTGGGCACCACAGCCGTTTCTCGCGGACGGAGCGCGCTCCAGCGAGCAAGAGCGCAACCACGGTACCACCGTAAGGCTGCAGCTCTGCGGCGACAGGAGCACGCAGATGAACCTGGATCTGGCATCTCCTTGACCTGGGTGGCTGGATCGGGGTTGGCGAGGCTGTGAAACACGGGACTCCGCATGCAGCATCCGCCTGACGAATCAAACGGCCGCCGGCGTCGAATCCCGCCGTGGAGATACGCCGCAGGATGTGGCATTTCGCAGTCACGGGAACACGGAGGGAACCCCGCTGTGTCCGTGCTCGCCGTGCAGCAGCGCCGCCAACCAGCGCGCAGAGACCGGCCATCTCTGCAGCGCAGCCAGTCACGGCTGGACAGGTCATGGTTGTGCGCTACTCGAGGCATGCATGCTGCAGGCCTCTCGCTAACTCCGGACCAGCCCTGGCCAAGGCATCCAGCACATGTGGCAAACCATTCACTCGTCCCGGCTGCTCCGTGGGCAGACCCGGCAGAGGCCTCGAAGGCGGGGTTCGGTTGATCGTCCCCCAGGAGATCCCGGTTATTGCGTACAGACGGACGGGCGGAACGCATTTGCAGATCTAGAGATTGCTTGCACTGAGATCGCTAGAGCACGATGGGCTAGCATAAAAATAAACAATATACCTCCTGCGGGGTAGCAGTGGGTGTGATATATGGAGGCTTGTTGTAGACGGCTGCGATAGAGCTGTTTGGGGTCTTATCTATCGCGCGCCCCTCCCCAGATAAAGTCGATGCGCACAGCTTGTCTGTGTGCGAACGAAAACAGGCAGTCGTCGAGATTGCCTGCAGCTGTCACCCCTCGCCCAAGGAAATTGAAGCAATGGACTCCTCCGTGTAGGCACTGCAGCCCAGGCCGGCGTTGTGACTGGCCGCTCATGCCCGTATCGATATTGCTTGCGTCGGGGCCACTGCAAGCCACCAACGCGAGGCCGGCGATAGACTCACGCAACAGCTGTCTCAAATGATAAAATACTCCGCATGGAGCGCCATCGTTTGTGGCTCCATAGACGCAGCTCGACCCATTTCTCTGCTCGCGAAGACACAAGCTTCGGCAGACCTCCGCGAGTCTTCATCTTCTCTCAGTATCCAGAGGGGAAAGACGTGCTCGGAGCTGTCCAGCTCATCGTAGCTTCGCCACTCGTCCCGACGGCCAGCGGAAAAGCGCCGCAATTAGCGTCCGTAGTCGAGAAAGTCACATTTCCAGCAGCAGGAATATCCACCTGCTGAAAATAGCGTGTCGATCGAACCGTCTTGCACGTCCTTGGTTGCTGGATAGAGCTGCAGACAAGACGATGAGAGAGGACGCGCCCGTATTCGAGTGTCAATGGGCGGCCATTCATTGTGCGCGACGGGCCCGTTCGGCAAAACAGCGGCTGCCCGACGCCTCATTCATCGCCAACAAGAGCTGCCTTCAAACTCCCAGAGACAAAGAAACCCCAGGGGAACAATACTCAGTGTTTGTTCCCAGCCCTCCTGCCCGCATCAAAAGGCATTCACTCGTTTTCCATGCCCGTCGTTGCAGCCTCTGCGAAATCCCGCCGTCGAGTCCGTTTTCCAGCGAGTAGACAGTCTGCTGCCGCGACACTGTCTCGCGTCCCCGGCCAGCCTGAGCAACGCACCCGGGATCTGCAGGCACATGGTGGCAGTTTGCCTCCACTAGGACCCCCGAAATCTCCGTTCCCGAAGCAAAGCAAGACAATGGCCACACGCCCCGAAGCCGTCCAAGTTCCCCCGCTGTTCACGGAGCTCCCCGCCATCCGCGACTCGCTGAGCACGGAAACAAGCAAGGTGCAGGATGAGACCGTGGAACTCTGTCTGCCCTTCCTGAAAGGCACGGACGGCACTCTCAGAGATACCTTGAATGCTTTTGGTGTGTCTCGTCTCCGGAGAGACCAGCATATTGAGTACCTCTATGATTCCTTGGAAGACTACCCCAAAAGCTTTACTGGGCTCGATTCCAGTCGTCCGTGGATGGTCTACTGGGCCCTCGCTGGGCTGGCCCTTCTCGGTGAAGATGTGACCAAATATCGCGAACGGTACGATGATCCTACGGGCACGCTGTGCCATCAGACAGAGAGTTCTTCCTGCCGCGAAGGCAGCTGACATCACTATCTTCACAAATATAGGGTTATCTCGACCTTTACCCCGATGCAGAATGCTACAAGCGGTTTTGGCGGGGGTCATGGCCAGATGTCGCATTGTGCGTCGACCTTTGCTGCTATCCTTTCTTTGGCAATGGTCGGAGGGAATGATGCATTCGAGCTAGTCGATCGAAGAGCAATGTGAGTTGTCCTTGTGTGACCGGTTCGAGGTCTCCCAGTCCTCAGTCACGAGCCTAACCAACTGCTAGGTGGAAATGGCTGGGTGAGTTGAAGCAGCCTGATGGGGGCTTCCAGCTTTGTGCAGGTGGCGGAAGAGGATGTTCGGTACGTTCCCTTCCACCACTCTACTACGTTCAGAGTGCTGAGATGGATTATGGATAAGGGGCGCGTATTGCGCAATGGTGATCATTTCGTTGTTGGATCTACCACTGGAATTACCCCCGGACGCCAACGCCAGGCGCTATGGTCTGCAGACATTCGTAAGCGGTCTTCCAGAGTATCTCTCCCGATGTAAGTCCCAGTTCCCCTCTTCTCGGAACACGTGTTGACCGGCTGCGGCTCAAGGTCAGACATATGAAGGTGGGATATCCGAATCGCCGGGTGCGGAGGCTCATGGAGCATATACCTATTGTGCTCTCGCATGCTTGTGCATCCTTGGCAGACCCGAAGACACTATTCTGAAGTAAGTGGCTGCATGATGACCACCTTTCGTGGATGCTTGACTAATAGAACTGCGGTAGGTACATGGATATGCCATCCTTGCTGTCTTGGCTTTCTGCGCGACAATACGCTCCCGAGGGAGGGTTCTCGGGCAGGACGAACAAGTTGGTGGATGGATGTTACAGTCACTGGGTTGGCAGCTGCTGGCCACTGGTCCAGTCTGCTCTGCATGGCGCGCAATCTGCATCTGGACCCCTCCCACCGCCTGCCAGTAATCTGTACAGCCGCGAAGGTTTGGCGCGGTACATCCTGGGATGCTGTCAGTCGAAGAAGGGCGGCCTCCGGGACAAACCTGGCAAGTATGTTGCACCGTCGACAGCTCGACTGAACATGTGGCAAGAGAAAAATCTAACCATAGGCCAGGCACCCGGACTCGTATCATACATGCTACACCTTGACGGGGTTAAGTAATCTCCAGTACCATCACTACCACACGCACGACGGGTCTTCCACCAGCGGCATTTTTGCTTCGGCATTTTCCTGGAAGGCAGCGCCGATCTTGTCCAGTCCCGATGCGGAAGCAGATGCAAACGTGTTCGAGGAAGACGATCGTCTTACGCCCTTCCATCCGCTCTACACGATCCCGCACCAGGCGGCAGAGAATATGCGGAGGTGGTGCGAAGAGAGGAGCATCGAAACATGAGATGTGGCATCTCTACGACTGAAGATCGCCGACTTGGTTGAAGCATTTGTGTAAAGATGTAAAGCACCGCTTCTATCAGCCTTGTTTTCAAATTATGAGGGTCATATCGGGGGGATTTCTCCCACAGGCTTTGGATGTGTACATGTAACGAGCACTGGAGCAGAAGCCATCACATGCTGCTGACTGGAAGTGCCAGATAGTACCTACTACTGCCGTGCATCCTCAATGACGAGGTTACAGACAAGAGCATGCGACTCTTCGATGGGCCTGTGAAGTGCCCAGGCCCGGTTATGTTGCCCACTGTTAACAATAACGCGCCATTACAACTATGTCCTAGTATTAATAGGCACCTAGACAATGCATACAACTCGATGGACATGTACTGTACCTATCTAGTAAGGACTAATACTTCCCCTGGTACTGCGAGCTAGTAACACGTTCGTCCTGCTGGCCGGATTTTTACGTCCTCACCCAAGCCAATCAGTGGAGATCGCTGCTCCGACTGTGGAGATGATTCCTATTCTTACTCCGTATTCCTCTGTGGGCGTCAACAGCGTTCCATCCATCCATTGCCGACCCCAGACCGCCCAATAGCCAGAGCAGCGGGTGCAGGCTCGACAATGAAACCCTGCGCTCGCTGGACGGCTGGCGTTTCCCCTGGTAGGGATTTCTTTCAACAGATCGGATGCCCCACTGCAGGCCATCGAGGTTGGATGTAAGTACGAACCGGCGGGAGGAGGGGTAACAATAATTAATTTACAGACTGCTGACAGAGTATATACGAGAATCGCAGAATGGCCATCCTCTCTCAGCTTATTATTGTTGCAGTCTCTTCATCCAGCTCTGGAACGCGCGGTACTAGTACCACTGTGCCAGGCAGTTCCCCACCACATGGATACTCCGTAACGCGGCCATCGGATTGCCAACTCATCATTGCATCGGATGCCTGTCACTAGCCGGAGCATGGTCTGCCACTGCAGTCGGCCATGCACGCCTCGAATGAGGGGTCTGTCTTTCAGTTCAGTGCAGTCTGTCCGATTTTATTAATTACGCCAAGATGGTAGTTAATAATTGAGGAGCAAGCGATCAGAGAGTCCGTCTCGTTCGTCTCATCCTGTATGATGATCGTCCCGTATCCGAAGAGGCGGTCGGTCGGAACGCTTGCCGAGGTCAGCAGCCCCGACAACAAAGAGCAGAAAAAAAGAAAAGAAAAGAAAAGAAGAATCAGGAATTGAACAGCGACAGAGGAATCATTGATGGCTGCCAATTCGCTCTTCCTGCAGACCATCAATTAATATTCCTGACGCGCTCTGCACACACTACACTACATGCTTGTCCTGTCGTCCAACACCGACTGCATTAGCATCAGCCCTTCGGCGGCAATTCTGCTCTGACGCGGTATTGCATCCTGCGTACCGTATTTCAATGGCATGGCACGGCGGTGGGCCTGCGCCGTGCCTCGGACGTTTCTTTTGGAATCTTTGACGCCTGGATCGGCAGCCAATCTGGCCGGTCATAGGCTGGATCTGGGGCGTCGCGCAGTCACTGGCCGACAGCCGTGCCAGCGCATCAACCGTCAGATCCAGACAGACTGAAAGGTAAAGTAACGACCAGAACAGACCACAACGGCAATGGAGAGCGCGCGCGCTGCTGGAAGGCCGAGCCCGTGCTTGTGTTTTCTTTAAATGGGTCCTGTAGTGATGATTTTCAGCCCCATTAGTCTTATTCACCGTCAATTAAAGCACGATAGATATACATAGCTTTCGCTATCGACCAGGTAGCGCGCCAATATTAAGATTTTATTTTTAACCTCCAGACCAACGCCGTCTGCGTCGCTGGCGAGGACCGATCTGTTGTTCCAGCGCCATTTCTTCAGTTCGATTCGCAATTGATTGATTGATTGAGAACGAGAGACCTCCCTACCTACCTACCTAAACCACCGACCCTAGCCTCCAGCCATACATTGGGCATCGACCACACGCCATTGTCCTCGATGCCTTCTTGGTCATCATTGTAGTCTGCGTCGCGGGATTGACGATCCGGGCACCGAAGCTGAAGATCTGAAACGCCGGTTGAATTGCTAATCTGTTCTCTGTCGCTGTCGCCATGTACTACATCCTCTATCTCGATAGTACGTCAGCCAATGACCATGATTTGACTCTGTAACTGGCAATTCAATCCATTCTTGAAAAGCAGGATTGGCCATGTGGCCAATTGGAATACTATCGCCTTTTCGAGCTGTATTTTATTGGTTGTATTTGTTCTTTTCGTTTGTTCAGCTTCTATGACCCAGCCTTATCAGAACATGCACGCCTGTCATGTCAGCTTCAATTTTATGACAAAACCACTGACGGAGAGATTCCAGGCCTCTGCCGCCGTCGCCGCTGGCCGGACCCTCTCTACGAATCCTACACGTGTCCCAATGGCTACACCTGCGTCGTGCGCGTCAACAACCGCGAATACCAGACCGACACCGTCTGCGAATCCGAGAAGCTGGCCCAGGAGAACGCCGCCATGCGCGCGTACATGATCTGCCGCAACTTCTCCGTCAACGATGGCATGTACCCGGCCGGCCATGACCACGGCGGGGTGCTCCAAGGCCTCCCTGTCGCCATTGGCACGGGGCGGAAGACTCACAGCAACAGCAATAGCAACAGCAACAGCAACAGTAATAGCGACGATACTGATGCTTCCAGCGGCAGCTCCAGCAGCGGAAGTAGTCGAAGCGGCGGGAGCAGCCCCGAAAGCCACGACGGAGGTCGAATGATGATGATGGCTAGTCGGGAGCGACATGTTGTTCCGTCGAGGGCTCTTACCTACGGTGGTCGTGGGATGTAATAAAACAAAGTCGACTGTCGATCAGATTATCGATTGCTTTCTACGGATCCCATGATCTGAATGAGGGTCGAGATCAACATCCATTCATGCACCCATCTGAAACTTCAACATGGAGAAAAAGGAAACCAGAATGGAAAAAAAATAAACAAAAACAAAAGCCTCACTGGCATTCATTATTAACGACGTTACGACCGTGATGACCATGAACCTATTTTCGATTTAGAGACGAAACATGACACGACATGGCATTCCACATCAAGGAGATGCCTTGTTCTTTTTCTTTTCTCAACCTTACTTTCCTTGCTTATGACGATTATACGACGATTACGACGATTATGAAAATCTTGATAGAAATGTTGCGGTTCACTCGGATACTTTGTTCCGCTTGCTTGCTTGCTTGCAAAAACAAAAAGCAAATGCAGTCCTGGCCACAGGAAGTATTCTCTCGATTTCTCTTGTTTCTTTCTCTCTTTCTTTCTTATTTTCAAGTGACATGACATTTTATTTATCTTTATGCTACCAGGGACCAGGGACCGTTGGATTCAAGAAAAATCCCTTTTGCAATGCCTGTGCAATTCGCGATTATCTAGCTAGGCATGCAGGCATGGGCTGGTGATTGATTGTGAAATATTCACTCGTCGTTGTGTGGGAGGTCTCTGATGGCAATTTGGTCGCTTTTTATCTTTTACATGTCTGATGAAAACACCTAGGGAGGGATAGGGCAGGCAGATTATTTATTTATTTTTATTTAACGACCTGGATTTTTGACGTTTTCATCTTCGTCTTTCAGTAAAATACATGCCTCTAATATATGTCTTCTGGACGGGGAGCAACCAGTGCAAACAGGAAGCCCTCGATGACGTATTGACAACACAGCTCAGCCGTCCTTGATTGCCAACAACAGACATGTCACGAGCCAGCTTGTGAACAACCACAGCTCGTGTTTTCAATTTGAGATATCTCTTTTATACCCCTGGTCTACAAAGCTAACGATCATATGATCCTTTGCCATGTATTACAGACAGCTCCGTCTGTCCCACCCATACGCAGAATAATCGGTACGCCTGCCATCTGCTGGAAAAGGGACCCAACATGAGTTACGCTTTGCGCTGCCGGGCAGCACGTACCTGCAGCAGAAGGGCATTGGAAACTACTATCTCTCGTATACGGGCAGCGACCAATTCGGATCTCCGTTTCTATACTACTCCCCCGGCAACAATTGCCCTCGAGACGCATGTACGAAGCAGCAGTCAACGACAACACGCTTCGTCGGCGACTGAGCTGCAACTCCTTGGACGTAATAGGAAACGGTTCAATATCGATAACATTCGCCGGTATGCCTCTCAGGCAGAAGAATCGAGTTCTACGGGCGAAGACAATCCAGGACTTCAGGAGGCAGTGTCGTACGTCAAAAACAAGCAGAACGAGGCTCCATGGCAGCGAGAAGGCTCGCAGGCGCCCCCGGTTGAACGAGAGAAGGCTGAAAGTGAGAAGAAAAAGGGTGCGTCATGCGTCTCTCTTGAAGGGAGCAAAGCAGCAGTCAATAATGCTTACGTGGAGTATGCTCCTGCAGGAAAGCTGCTCTCTACACCGTCAAGACTGCTCAAACTGATCTTACCCGTCACTACGCACGAGCATGATGATCACGATCAGAAAGGTGCGTAGTCATCAAATTTGTCGCATCTATCTCTAAGCTATTGCAGACGTCGAGCCCCTGGCTCTCCTTGTTCACCCCCAGCAACCTCTGTCCTATCTTGAACGGCTGATCCAGGCCGAAGTCCCGCCGATAAAAGGCGAGCACGACCAGCTGCGACCTCCAACGGTGTCGTTCCTGGCCATGGAGGTCCAGGACGACGCCCTCAAACCCAAATCCGCCTCCAGACATGAAAAACACCATGCTGGAGACGGTGACGAGGAAAAACCGCCGGAAGATGAATCGGCGTCCGATCTGAGAGGCGGACCGGGCGAAGGCGGCGTCGAAATGTACCGCAATCTGGAAAAGAGCGAGCCCGAGGCCGTCAACCAGGGCCGGTTCGTGCGATGGTCGTCCTCGACGGAGATCGGGGACTTCATTCGGGATGCTGCTCGGGCGCGGGAGTTCCTCGTCGCCATCGAGGGCTCGCCCTTGGGCAACATCCCCGTTGGGGTGCCGTCCTTCAACGACCGCACGTACTATCTGAGGATGCGGCTGCGAAAGATCTCGCAGAAACTGAAGGATCTGGCCGTGGTCAAGCACGAATGCGACATGCTAGCGCACCGGGGCGCGCAGCGGATGGCGCTCGGCGGGTTGGGCGTGCTGGTGGTATGGTGGTACGTGGTGTACAGACTGACATTTCAGACGTCGCTGGGCTGGGACACGATGGAGCCGGTGACGTACCTGGTCAGTCTCTCGGCGCTGATGTGCGGCTATGCGTGGTTTCTCTACCACAACCGGGAGATCTCGTACCGCTCCGCGCTGGACTTTACGATCAACCGGCGGCAGCAGCGACTATACAAGATGAAAGTGTTCGACCTGCAGGCGTGGGAGTCCCTCGTGGACGAGGCCAACGAGCTGCGGCGGGAGATCAAGACCGTGGCAGCCGAGTACGACGTTGATTGGGACGAGACGGCGGACGAGCACGATGTGCAGGTGACGGAGGAGCTGAAGAAGGAGCGACACCACCGGAACGGCCACCATTCGGAGAGGAAGAGCAAGGATATCCATGATGAGGCGGAGTGGCGTGTTAATTAAAATCCTGTCATATTATCATGTTATGCAGAGATGCATCAACGATTATATATATGCATCTCTACCCTATAAATATGACTGGTTTCCTCCAGTCCACTTTACTGTCAAGAAGACATTATTATATTATGATCATTATTATCATGGGTACCTAGCCTACCTAGCAATTAAATTCTTCTTCCACTCATAAGAATATATCTGTGACCATTTTTACTTTTCTCAATGGACGACAGACGGGACATAGATGTAATATTTAGCGTATGCAAAATTTGGTGCAGTTTTGGCACCCCAAAACCTCAAAAAATTGCAACTTTTGTATCGGAAGCCCTCCAAACCACCAAAATACTGATTTTTCTCACCAAATCCCATCGATTTTTTACTGAATTTGTCATATCTGAGGTTTTTCTGACTTTCTAATTAGGAAATTATAGCCTATATTCAAACCGATATCGAGATGTCTGCGAATCGCGCTCCTGCCGCCATACCCCTACGACCTTCGCAAGAAGCACATTCCTCGCATCCCATCCCCCAGCCCCCGAACCAGGATCCCCGCTCGGCAATTNTACTCCGATGGCC